ATGACAGGGCCAGTAGTACATTCCAACTGCCCTTCCTGTGGGGAAGCCTTCCTTCCCATTTTTTGTCCCCCAAAGAACTCTCCTTCAGTTTCATATAACACAAAGGTTGGTTTTCACTATTGGGCCCATTGTTTCTTACTGTGGAACAACCCATGTGAGAGTCTGAAGGGGAAGAAATCTCATGGACTTGTTGCAAAGATTTGTGTGGGAACAAATTGGGAAGGAGAGAGCTACAGGGGGCACCTGCACCCTTGGCTCTTCATAGTAGGGAAAAGCAGATGGTTACAGAATTCCTTCTGTGCACAAATTTGGGGGCAGGGCAGGTCCTATAAAGCTTCCATACTTTCTTGCTAGGGAGTATATTCTGGTCAGGGCTTCACATACTTCTGCTATTAACTTAAACGGGTATCATATGTGTTCACTTTGGGGAAGCTTTGTTTAGAGAACTTACTCTGCCCTCAGACAAAGTAGATATGAGGTTAGAGAAAAAGCTCCAATTGCATGGGGAATATTGTTACAGGTGAATGTGTTTTTCCATAATTCAGAAATGCTTAGGATGAGTCAGGCAGGAAGATAGCAGAAAAATAGAGAGGAGGGTGATTGTATATCCCTGAGAGGCTCGATTTTTCCAGGTTTCTAGAAAATAGCCACCTACTGTATGTCAAGTTTTGCTTGAGACACTCTTTCTATCTGTCAGTATGGATGCATGGGTACCATGTAGCATGGTCAACAAAAACATAAACTTTTCTAACTAGCAAAAGAGAAAAACAGAAAAAGTACAGATATATTCTCTTTTCCCCTTACACATGAGTTCCATTCATATGAGTGGCAATAGCTTAGGAGCATGGAGCAGATAGATCCCATTGATTTAAGCTGTGTAGTCATATAAGTGTATATGGTAATGTCTATCACGATTGATCCTATTTGTGTTCAGTGGAGGATTCAAATAAGAAATCTAAGGTGCTCCTTCCTTGCTTCCTTCCTTCAGCTTTGGATGCCTCAAACTGGGTTCACTGTTTTTCTTAACTTGCTCGGTAGCCACCCCGGATGACCATCTCAGGTCCCCCTTGCCGTGCATGCCCTGAATGAGGCCTTCCTCCCACTGCTGGTCACCCTGGCTGTGGCAGGTGAGCTGGTCACCCTGGTGCTGGCCGGTATGGCACTCTGGTGATGGTTGCTATGCCTCCCAACAGTGACATGGGTGGTCCCTTTGCTTCCCTGCTGTGTAGAAACCTGTATGCCTGGGTGAGTCATGTCCGCCATGCCCAGATCCTAGCAGGCCGCCTTGATACACCGTGGCAATGGTGCCTGGGGCCACCAGATTCCCCACCAGCCCATCCGGTTTGCCGCACATTGTATAAACTGCCAACCACCAAGAAGACTGGTGACCTGCAGTGGCAATTGCTGTACAGCATCCTAGCCACTGGCACGTTTGCATCCCACTTTGACCTAGCCACCTCAATGGCCTGCCCTTCTGCCCCGGGGACATTGAGGAGAACCTCTTTCACACCTTCCTCAGCTGTCCCTGATCTTTGTTACCCTCAAGCTGCCGCTGCGGGCACTGGACAGGAGCCTCTCGGAGACCACCTATGTGTGTTCCTACCCATACTGGGTGGCTGAGCAGGGCGCCATCTGCCTGGCCCACTTTCTGCTGGGTCAGGCCAAGATGGCCATCCTCAAGAGCTGCTACAGCTGGCTTGCCTGGACAATTCCCTGTGGCTTTTCGGCCTCATGGTGCGGAGAGCAAAGTGGTCCACCACTCACTGGAGTTTGAACATGCTTTTGAGGCACACTGGGCCCTTGAGGGGGCACTGTGCCATGTGGAAGACAGCCATCTTCAATATGCACTCTGATGTCATGACCAGTCTGGGTGACTGGGCAGGCTTGATGGCAAACTGAGGCTCCAAGCCTGCGCCACGCCCTGGGCCCTCACCAGGCTGTGTTTTGCTTTTTCTCTTTGTGTGGGAAGTTCAAGGTTTTGTTACTTGTATTATTGGATAGAGCAGGGTAGGAATTGTTTGTTTATAGAGGACTTTGATCTGTATGACCATGTGGCTGGGTGTCCTGACCACGTAATGGCATGTTAGGCATGACGTGTAATACTGCGAAAGTGTCTGTCACAGTGTGATGTTATGAATGTAATGGCATGGTGCTTTTGGCTTGATGCTAGTTTGTCTGATTTTGTTTTGTATATTGGACCTGAACCCTGGAGGGACCAACTTTTTGTACTCCGAACCCCTGAATAAAGTAGCTAAAAAATTCAAAGTCCTTCCTTCCTTTATGGTGATGATTTTTATCCTGGAAATAGAACTTAGGCTGCATAGGCAACATGATTTACTGCTTTAGGGGATATTGCTTCAGTTAAAGATGAAATTCGCTTCCCACCCAAGGATGTGCTTTCCTTCTGGTATCTTGAATCTGCATAGGACTTGTGACTGACTGCCATGATATTTCACTGTTCTGTGGATTCTGTTTATATTCATGAGTAGTGATATTGACTGGAATTATGAACTGCAACAGTTTTGGTCCTTTCTAGATAACATATATAGCAATACACTGTTTCAGGCAAGAAAGACCTTTAGCTGTGGAAATCCTGGCCTTGTAGGAGTCAGAGTTCTGTTGGTATTTCACCCCAGAAGCCCTGTAGGTTAGAATATTACTGGATTGGAATTCCTTTCTCAAACATACATCTGGCTAAATATATTGAATTTGGTTTCAGAGGTGGATTTTGTTTGCACCTTGGATAGCTTTTATTTGACCATGTGGCCACAATATCTCACAGAGGAATCCAGCTTGTGATTACACTGTATGAACTGAGCAATCCATCTGATAGTTTGTCTATAGGTACCCTGAAATCATCATGTAGTTCTGATATTGAAGCTCACCTCAACTTTGTCCCAAAGCAGGGGATCATTGAATCATAGAAAATAAGGGTTGGAAGGGACTCCAGGAGGTCATCTAGTCATGCCCTCTGAGCAAAGCAGGGCTATCCCCAACTAGATCATCCCAGTCAAGGTTTTGTCTACCTGGATCTTAAAAACCTTCAAGGATGGAGAGTCCACAACATCTCTTGGTAACCTGTTCCAGTGTTTTACTACTCTGCTAGTGAGAGAGTTTTTCCTAATATCTAACCTAAACTTCTCATGCTGCAACTTCAGACCATTTCTCCTTGTTCTATCATCTTTCACCACTGGGAGCAGTCTGTACCATCTTCTTTGGAATCCCCCATCAGGTAGTTGAAGTTTGTTATTAAATCTGCCGCCCTTATTCTAAATAAGACTAAATAAGTCCAGTTCCCTCAGCAATCCTTAGAAGTCATGTGCCCCCACCCCCTAACTATTTTCGTTGCCCTCCACTGGACTCTATCCAATCTGTCCATATCCTTTCTGTAGTGGGAAGTCCAAAACTGAACAAAATGTAATTGGAATTATAGAAACATTAGCAACTCACCTGAGAGGACCCCAGAGAATAAGTGGAGAGCTCAGCTTCCCTGGCCATGAGGGAAAATAATTATGGAAACATGCCAGCAACTCCACAGGTGTGCTAAAACTCATTTGATGAGCTCCAGCTGCCAGAAGATGTTGCCCCAGCAATGGGGAAGCCAAGTGGCTCAGGAAGACCCAATGCCATAAACAAGCCAGCAGACAGAATGCTGCAGAAAGGAAGAGGGAGAAAAGGGAAGTCTGAGTTGCCCTCCAAGTGGAGGCTCAGAGGAAAACTACCTGAGAGGTGCAGGGGACAGCTGAAGCACAGAGATTGAAATGACCTGGAAAGATTGGAGAAGCTCTGAGATGTCAGCTAACCATGAGTACTGCCAGGTGGCAGCTGTGAGAGAGCACCCAGGGGCTAAGTGTGTAGGACAAAAGGAGATGGGCAATCTGTTTCTCATCTGGAGTGAAGCTAGGTTCAAACCTGGCCCCACAGAATTAACAAGGGAGTGAACCTCAGAGTGCATCACAACTGAGAGAGGCAGGACCAGTTTTGTTTCTGTCCAAATTACTAAGCAGATAAACTTATTTTGTATTTGTCTTTAACTCGGCCAGGGGTGCCTAAAACGGGAGGGCCCAGAGCATTCAACTAGGTGGACTGTGAAGGCTGAGGAAAATCCCAGACACAGAACACCAAACACTCAGACTGGGGAGGCGATCACTGAAACTGTGTACACCCTTTAAGCAACGGGGTTATTTGAAAGGAGAGGCACTACGACCCTTTTAAGGATGGACATCTTGTTTTTCTCGTTTCCTTTTTTTGTACATACTTATTTTCCATTTCCTTACTGAAGCCAACCCGAAAAGACAACAGCAATTTACCAACATGAGGCAATGGAGCAGGGTGTAGGGGAGAGTAGGAGCCCTCCAGAAGAACCCAGGCAGCAACAAACCCGCAATATAAATCTGATCACAGCCCCATAGAAATCAAGTGCAGCCTCCTATCTCAGAACATCAAGTCATGGCAGGAAAGAATAAGTGAGTGAGTAGAAACTGTCTGTCCAGTGTTGAGGCGATGCTGGCAAGGGTACACTAGAGTCACCCACAGACAAACAGTGCTCCAGATGGGGACTCACCAGCTCCGAATAGAGGGGAAGTATTACTTCCCTTGGTCTGTTAGCAACATTCTTACTAATGCAGCCCAGTATGCCATTAGCCTTCTTCACAACAAGGACACACTGCTGGATCATATTCAGCTTAGTGTCCCCTGTAACCTCCCAGGTCCTTTTCTGTAAAGCTGCTGCTGAGCCAGTCAGTCTCCAGCCTGTAGTTGTGCATGGGATTGTTCCATCCTAAGTGCAGGACTTTGCATCTGTCCTCATTGAACTTCACGAGATTTCTTTCAGTCAAATCCTTCAATTTGTCATGGTCTCTCTGAATCCTAGCCCTACTCTCCACCATATCTACTACTTCCCCCAGCTTGGTGTCATCTGTGAAGTTGCTGAACATACAATTTATCCCATTTTCCAGGTCATTGATGAAGATATTGAACAAAACAAGCCCCAGGACCAGCCCCTTGGGCACTCCACTTGATACCTGCTTACTTGCCATTGACTACTACCCTCTGAGCCCAATGATCCACCCATCTTTCTATCCACCTTATAGTCCATTCATCCAATCCATACTTCCTGAGCTTGCTTGTGAGAACATTATGGGAAACTGTATCAAAAGCCTTGCTAAAGTCAGGGTATATCACATCCACTCGTCTCCCTGCATCCACAAGGCCAATCATCTTATCATAGAAGGCAATCAGGCTGGTCAGGCATGATTTGCCTTTGGTGGATCCATGCTGACTGTTCCTAATCACCTTTTTCTCCTCTAAGTGCTTAGAAATAGATTCCTTGAGGATCTGCTCCATGTTTTTTCTAGGAACTGAGCGAAGGCTGACCAGTTTGTAGTTCCCTGGATCCTCCTTCTTCTGTTTCTTAAAGATGGGCACTATATTGCCCTTTTCCAATCATCCAGGACCTCTCCCAATCACCATGAGTTTTCAAAGATGATGTCCAGTGCCTCTGCAATCATATCAGCCAACTTCATCAGCACACTTGACTGCATCCCATCTGGCCCCATGGGCTTGTATATATCCAGCTTTTCTAAATAGCTCTAACCTGTTCTTTCACCACTGTTGGCTGCTCATCTCCTCCCCAAACTGTGCTGCCAGGTGTAGTAGTCTGGCAGCTGAACTTGCCTATGAAGTCTGAGGTGAAAAAAGGTATTGAGTACTTCATCCTTTTCTGCTTTGTAGGGATGTTTGCTTTGTCGTCACAAAATGTTATGGAAGTGCCCTTTAGAATGAGAGGAATCATGATTCTAGATACTTGTCTACTACTTTTATTCATGCCCCCTCCTCATTTTCTTTTCAGAAATAAGTAACTGTCTTTTACATCGCAGGTACTTGCCTACAATGTTTATTCGTTGTTTCTTTTTTGCCTATAAATGCATGTTTTCACACTAGAAAGAAATCTATCAATAGAGAAGGAAAGTAAGTTAATGAAAATAACGCATTTGCTGGTCGCATCCTATCAGGGTGAGTTTTGGTTCCAAAGAATGCAAAATCAGATGCATATGAACAATCATTTTGTCTTAATGCAAACCATGATTGCCTTGTGGTAAGGCTATTATCTTATTTATGTTCTTTATAATCCCCTTCTCCCCACTGCCTGCTTCTAAATCCTTTAAATTTCTTCTCTCTCACTTTCTTTTGCCCTTTTCCTTACTGATACCAAACACTAAGAATGACATAACTGCATACTTGCTTCATCTGTAATAAGCTGCAGTCAGAGAAAAGTAGCTGCTGTTTCTGCAGAAGGGCAGAGCTTCCAGGTGCTTGAGTCATGCACAGAAATCAAGGCACCTCAACCACAAGCCATGAACCTTACAAAAAAGTACTTTTCCTCCCTTATGAGGTAGGTAGAGCAAATGTTAGTAACTAAAAAAAAATTCAGAATTAGAAGCTATTAAAGGAAGTTTCCATTATTTGACCAGCTCTTGTAAGTATTACAAAAGGGCAAAGGACTGTTTAGATTAAACAATTTCTCTGAGTTCACTGAGCAAATCATGGAGAGGAAGAAGAAGGAACTAAAACTCTTTCTTGCTCAATCTTTGGCTTTGAACTCTGGCATACTTTTGTCAGACCATGCGTGGAACTATACATCTAAGGCCATGTCAACTGAAAATTTACCAAGCCCACCTTCAAAGATTTTGTGTGGCTCCCTCACCTGACCAGGGGCAATTCGATTTTGGTTCAGTGCAGACATTCAGGAAGGTAAGATCCATTAAAAATGGCCACCTGATCTAAGGGAAGTCAGGATAGGAGGGAGGGGCTAGTGGAGGAGGTTGGGGGAATGGGGGGAAAGCAGGCTTAGAGGCGAATTGAGGGTCCATGGGAGGGATGGGAGGCCAGCAGGATCTGTTGGAGCAATGAGGGGGATGGGGGAAGGCAACATCTGTGGGGGGATTAGAGGGCAGGCAGGATCTGCAGGAAGGATCAGGAGGGAAGTGGGATCCACAGAAGTAATTGGGGGGAACAGGGGGGTTCATGGGGTCTGCAACAGGGCTTGGAGGGAACAAGGGGCTATTTTTAGCCTCTTGATCCCGCCCCCAGAAACCTACAACCCAATCCCTCCCCCCCACCCCTCCACTGGGACTTACTTCCCTGGCTCTCAGCAGCAGCAAATGCTGATAAATCCAGCACCTAGAGGGGCTTGCAGGATGTAGGGTTGGGGGTGATGTAGAGCTGGCTGGTCCATAGGGTGGGACAGTAAAGGACCAGGTGGATAAAAATAGTCTGTTTCCAGGAAGGGCATATAAGAAAAGTGCAGGCCTGGGACTGGGGCCAGTGGCTAGGCTTTCCCAGTCCCAGAGTTGTGCAGGTAACTGTACTGAAGTTGCAGGCACAGATCTAACCTATTTTGATTAAGTTTGAATGTACATCAATCCAGGTCTATCTTAGACTGTGTTCCACCATTTTAGACTGGTCTGTCTGTGCAGAACTTCTGTACTGTTTTGGGTTTAGAATGATTTCTGATCACTGAGGACAAACAAAGTTAGATTGAGTAGGCACATGAACGGCACATGCCTCTGGCAGCTGCAGGGGCACAGCTGTGCTGGTGGTGGTAGGAGTGCAGTGAGTGGGCAAGCTCCTGCAGATGCCACCAGCACTGTTGGTGGCAGGGAGGGGGCATTGGCAACTGCCTGCCAGTGCCACTGGCAAAGGTGGCAGCAACAGTGGGAATCACGGACCACCCACAGATGCCGATAGTGGTATTGACAGTGGGGTGGCGAGTGGCAACTGCCCACAGGTGCCGCCAACACTGTCAGTGGCGCCTTTTTGTAGGGGCTGCACCGCCATGCTCAGGGGGTGCACATGCACCCACATGCACCACCTACTCATCGCCCTGAGTGGCCATCTTTCATACAATCTAACCTCCCTCTAACCCTTCCATCCCCTGAATGTCAGCACTTAGTCTTTTTCTGTTACAGTGATTCTGAACCTTTTTAAACTCTAGGCACTCCCTCAATAGCCTCAAGGTACTTCTCCATATTTTTTTGTGAATTGAGCAGCACCTCATTTCAAAACAAACATTTATTAGGGTTTGCATCCTCATGGAGGGGCCTGGCAGTGGGGTCAGGGGAATGGCCAGGTAGGAACTGAGCTTGAGCTTGCTCTTGCTTGGTTATTTCTTCATACCTCAAGATACCCCAGCTGCCCTGGTACCCTGGCTGAGAATCACTGGTCTGCTAGGTGCCCTTGTTACTGCACAGTCAGCCCAACAGCTTCCAGTCATGGGAGTTTACAGATGCTGAGCCACACAGTGCATTTGAGGGTGCCATTGCTGGGCACAATAAGTTGCAGTCTAGATGTGGCCTAAGAGTCTCCAGCATGAGTGAGGGAATCTTCTTTGTTTCTGTTGTACAGAATTATATTATGCAAGTGATTCTCTGCAGCTTGGCTAGGGGAACAGAATTTTCCAGTATTGTCAATTTAAATGTTGAGCTGCAGGACAGTGATGCTGGCAGTTTTCCAAAGCCTCTTTCTTGTAAACATCTTCATGAGAACAATGACTGTTTAGTGAAAGAAAAAATGCTATCCATATTCTGTGCACTAAAACTTCCTGCCACTACCTGAAGCATCCGTGGTGCATTTTTGAAATGCATGTTGAGAAACATACAGAGTTGAGGAACATTGTATGCTGTCTTTAAATTCAAGTGGGCTTTGGCTCCAATGCCTTTATCCCCAATGCTGTGGGAAGAGCAGAAAATTGGAAGAACTCAGCAATTCCTATCTGCTTCTGTTTTAGAATTAAGATCTAAATAGTAAAGTGTTGATGATTACACACACACACAGAGACGCACACATACCCCATAGTCTGTGGTAAAAACAATGTTCAATTAACATTTGACTTTAACATTACAGAAAAAGATATTTTCCAGTTAACTAACCCTAATTGGTTCTAGAGATGCATCTTCACATTCAGTGACATTGTCTGTGTCCCTATAACTTAGTGGATAATTTGATGTTCTAAGCACTATGAATCACCCTTGATTGCTCAGGATTTAATTAAAAGTATAATTTCTTATTCTTATCATAGGTGCAAGTAGTCTCACTGAATGTGCAGTGGGAAAGACATGGTGATAGGCATGGTATAAATATTTGAATAGAGTACGAAGCATGACTACATGCATTTAATTGTTATGTTCCAGGAGGTTGAATTACACGTGTAGTTTAGTGTTCATTAAGTAGTTGGGGGCCTGTAACAGCTGAACTGCAGAGTTTCAGAAAAAGCTGAAAAGTTGCCACTGGGCTTTACTTTATTGGTTTACATTATGCCACCAAACATCACACTTCGTAATTGAATATAAGGGCAAGAAGTTGGTAAGGGAATGTAAAGGTTAATATTAGAAGGATCTAGCCAAAGGAGCAGGATGTCTAATTAATGCTAACAGATTCTGTTACTGTAATGTCCCCAAAATTATATGAATTATCAGTTTATTACCTACACCAGCACCATAATTTAGATCTCTACCAAGTCAATTATTTGCTGCTGGTCTTTTTCCAATCTAGTGTAATGTCAAGTAATTTTGATTCTTTTTTAAAATCTGTAATTGGCTGCACTGATTGGTTGATAATTTTTATCTATAAATGTAATGAGAGTATTTAATTCTGGCTTTACTTTTTCAATTCAGTCCTACAAGACAGGCTCCTGAGAGATTAAATATGCATTTAATTAGCATATTTGACTTGTGTGATCTCCTGTCCAGAAGAAAAAGATGATGAACCACAACAATCTTGGAATCAGGACCAGATAGTCACATAAATCACATCCATGCTTTTGCACCTATCACAGTTGCTTCCAGAAAACATGCACAGTGATAACCAGACTATGGTGCTTTGGCACATCTGTTGGATTTACAGATGTAGTTTAATCCTGAGACTTGGTAAAAAAGTGAACTTCATGGTGATTTTTTTGGAGAAGTTCCTGTTAATTCTTAAGTTATTTTTGAATTTCTGGGTGATATCTAAGGG